AACATAACTCAAGTAGATACATACTATTCAAAATAATCTGAAAAAATCTAAACAAATTTGTCAAAAAGAACATTTTTACATTATTCGATCTCGACTAACTCATTAAATAAATAAATACAAACATTTGAAATTTCCATCTAATATTAGTGTTTTTAAATTAAAATAAATTATAAAATATCAAAAATACAGTCACAATTTTTTTTATAAGCGTTCTAACTTTTAAGTTTATATGTTTAGAAAATTCAACAATATCTCAAAATTTTGTAATTTATTTAAGAAAATTCTGAAAATGTTACTTTTAATAATCGAGGATTGGAAATTATTGTTTAAATAAGATATTTAAAATTCAAAATATGTCAAAGTTATTAACTATTTAATCAAAAACCAACGACTTAAGCTAATTGTTTTGATTCAAAAATTATACTCTAGAATTGAAACTTTTCGACTCTGCAGCGTATATTATCACTAACAATAATTTTAGTCAATAAACAAAGACATTTTCAAAATATTCAGTATAATTTCAAACTTTTTATACCGCAAACCAATTCACTAACCTAACCAACATTAAGATTAAGTTTGGTATTAATTTTTAAGTTTATACATAGCTAGTAGTATTATATTATAAATTAATATTAAAATAATTATTATATTATTATTATGAAGATTATTATCTAGTATCTACCGTATTAGAGTATTACTGATAGAAATCAAAATTACTTATTTTAATAGGTACTTATAAATATATGAAAAAATATCTTTAGAAATATAATATAAGCTCATTGCTCACAGACCATCTCAGCTCAGAATTTTTTTCGTAGGTATATGTTATGAATAATGATTATAATTGAATTTAAATTTAACACGTCATCCATTCAATGATCCACTCAATAACGAGAAACACTCGACGCAAACAGAGTGACTTATACGTTTTTTTTTTATTTCTCATTCAGATTTCAAAATTCTTTAGAATTTTAAATGATTAGTTAACATTTTTGATATAATTGATAAGTACCTATAAGTGGGTATGTAAAGTTTTTATGAGTGGATGATTGGAGTGGTACCTCTAGCCCTTAAATTGATTTTTTCACTATACTCCGATGATCCGTATTTATCAAACTTTTAATAGTTACTACCTACCTATTTATTACTTCTAGGTTATTTTTTCAAAATTTGATTTTTATAAATTGAAATAGGTAGGTATAATAAATAGCCACCTTTTCAGAAAAATAATATTCTACTAGATATGAAATAAAAAATACATACTTTCCAAAAAATATAATAATAATAAATATCAAAAAGTTCGGCTCCACAGGTTTGGCATATGATATAGAAGATTCCTCTCTGAAGGCCATCGAAAAATCGTGAGTAAATATAATGTGATCAATACGTATTCTTTTAAGGACAATATCTTTTTTACGATTAAAATATGGGTTTCATCATCGATTAGTAACATCTTTGATCTCATCTAACATTTTTGTTTTCGTTCCAAATGCTTTGACATTTGATTTTAATAGTAAAGTTTATATATTTTTTTGAGTCATCATGCGTGTGATATTTAATTGATTAAAAAAGTATGAGGCTTGTTTGTTGGCTATTTCAGTACCTATTATTCCCGAGTATCCAGATATTTTCATGTTCATCATCAATATATATCTTTGCTCAAGTTGGAGGCTTTGTCAAGATTTGTTTGCAATATAAATTACACTACTCAAAGAATCGCTAAGGACTTTTTTATTTAAACTTTAAGTAAAATATTAATTTCAAAAAAATTGTACCGCAGGACGCAGGTATTTTTGAATTGAATTTTTTTCTATTATTACACCAACTACTAACACCAAGTCATATACATATTTAATTCAATTAATTGCCTAGTCATCTGTTTATTGTTTTGTTAACTGTGGTCAGTCACATTTTGAATAGACATTGATTAATATGGATTCACTAACATTTAACATCGAGCATGTAAGCTATACAATTAATTGTATTTATATTGGTGCAATGGTGCTATATAGAATTCATAAATATATTGGATTTGGGTTTAGGTATATATTGTAGGTATAGGTAAATTGGTCTTCAGTTGTTTATTTATCCATATTCCATATAATACGTATCGATTGTAATCGTAAACAACAATACGAATTGCAACCTCAACATTGCGTATTATGTATTTATTATATATTATGACCATGCGCGATACACCAATTCGTTCCTTAATATTTTTAATATAGGAAGTTTATCAACGATTATTTTGGGTAGGTGCCTGTCTCATAAATTTCAAGGATTAACTTTCTAAAAGTATCTATTCATATACTCCAGTCTCCAATAATTCAATGCATTTAAATAGTTCTGTTTGTTTCAAGGACAGCTGAGTGTTTTGGAACGACCTAATATTTTTACGCATAATATTTATTTGATATGAAAATATTTATCTCTATTCCCAAGGTTATATAGGTTCTCTACCAATTTTTTAAGAATCGTAAGTACCTAATACAGTTATTCAGCGTTCAGTCTAAAAAATCTAATATATCTTATAAGTTAAATTATTTTATATTAAGTATATTGTCTAGGCACATCGTAAATATATTAACTAGGTATCTATATAATCGTATTTTTTAGATTAGTATATATTTATTTGCCTCTATAATACGTGTGTGTATGTGCGTGCGAATGAAGGTTTCACACGTCAGTGTATAGACACAGGGTAGGATTCCAAGCCTCCAAGAATTTTTCACAATTGGGTAGATATAGATTGAAGATTCGACCCAGATAATTTTAAGAGCATATTTTTAAAATTGTCAGCAAATTACAAAGCCTTGTAGTTGAGTATTTTCAATTTTTGTCTATTAATATGTTTTTTATACTTAGCCCGTATCATATTTAATTCTTAGCTGTAAAAATCAAACATTTTAGAATATTGATTGAACCAATCATAGGTAACTTTTTCTCTTTTGTTTTGAGGCTTTTTTATTAAATATATATAATATAATATAATATATGTATATTATAGTGCTGTTAATTTTAAATTTTAATAATAAAAAAAAACTTTCAAGTATAATATTATAATATTATTTACCATATTAAAAATTGTAAATCTCTTGTATGTGCATTCTAATTATATTATATTCGTGGTTAAAATTTATAAATCATAATATTGGTATTATAAATATATCTATAACCGTAATATGCACTGTGCGTCTGTGTGTACCATATTATAAATATTTAATCGATTCTCATATCAAATATCAATGTATCATAATTAATTTTAATAGGTACTTATACGTGCTATTATGTTTCGTTGATAATGTTTTGTTATCTTTTGACTTGGATTCATAGTCTTATAGACAAGTTATCCTAAAACCTATGCTGCTTAGTTGCACACGTATATAGTTGCTTGTGTAGTATTTTAGTAGGTAGGTCGTAGGCCGTAAGTAGTTAGTACCCTTAGTGTTGTGTCTCATGTGCATTGTGTATACTGTATAGTTACTAAAAACACCTAGATATTGGTGAAAAACAATCAGATGTAGCTGATTATAGTACATTAACCTTAAGTAAATATTAGTAAGGTATGAGCCCAGTGCCGATGCTCTGATTCGGGAGGCCTTGTGAAATTTATAAAAACAAGGCCCCCCTCCCCACTTCTTGGATAAATGATGAAAAAATAATTGTTACAATCGTACAAAACACCATTAAAAAATTGCGAGGCCCTGTGCGATCGCACTTCGTGCACACCCCTCGCACCGGCATGTATGGGCCACATACCGAGATCATTTACGTTACGTTTTACATTTTAAAATGTAAACCTTTAATTTTCGAAGTTCCTAGCAGTATCTATTGAAAAATATGACAAAACAACGGTGAAAAATCTCATGTCACGAGTATTATCAACTTATTTCAATATTTCGACCATTTTTGGATAATATAATAAGTAGGTACAAATAGTACAATAGTACAATATTGATTTTCGAATGCAATGCGTGACTATACAACCGGCTATTGAACGCTTTTAAGTTTAGAGACACTCATAAATTGCAATACTGCTGTGATGACCCATCTGCTTATCTCAGTTTTTTTCCATTATTATTATTGTATTTATTAATCAATGTATTTATCACATTCATAAATAAATGATAAAAATGTAATTGTTGTATCACAATGGTATTTATCGGATTACATAACTCTAAGCGATTATTAAAACGATGAGTGGTATTGTAGAATATTGTCTATTATTATATATTTGATGGTTATATTTAATATGCTCCGAAAAAAGTTTAATATTTTTTTTAATTTGTAGATTTGTGTTAGAATTCGGGACCTGATGATCATTTGACGAGTGTTGATAGTGATGGTAAAGATTATTTATGAAGACATGAAAATGGTAAGTAATGTGAAATGTATTATATATACTTACTAATAAATAATTGATAATTTTATAAGTGAACCCACTTGAATGATTGCAAACGTCATAATTTTTTAATAATATACATCATGCACAGTCATAATGACTATGATATGTTATGTATTGTTTGTCTCATAAGAAAAAATATTAAATTTGCAGTTATTTATTCTTGTAATATATTAGTAAATTGAAATGTATAATATTATTATATTTCTAAACTGAGGGTTAATTTATAAGAACACTCAAGCCCTCCTCTCAAATATCACTCATACTCGTACAGTTTGCAATCACATATAATATGTATTTATATATTAATTTTTTTTTTACTTACATTAAAAGTATATAATTAATACTTGTATGATCTAGTTCAAAATATTAATTTGAAGGTAGGTATATTCTATTGACATGTACAACACTAACGAAAATAAGATAATTGATCTGTATAATTAGTCCACAGGCTTTGCTAACCAGCCATGTATCATTATTATTCATATTATGTTATCGTCTACTGCAATGTCCTGATTGCAGTATAAAAACTGCACCTTTGCCGTTAAGACGAGCGATATTTCCTACTATCTCCCTTCCTTGTGTTATTATAACAGAACTATCTCAAGAAGGATGTGGTAAAATGGTTACGTCATTATTCCGAGCTACCATCAACAATTGGTTATCCCGTCACATGTACCACAGTATACGTATTCTGGTCTTGTAAGACACACGTGTAATCCAAACGATCTTTCTTAATTGTCTCACTCTTTAATGGTACGTAAGTAATAACTTTAACTAACTTATTTTAAAACGTCAAAATTATAGTCTAATTATATTGTGCAGGGTGTTTTAATCGTGTTAAAATAATGAATATCAATAACAATACTTTAATATTTTACTGTTTATAAAAAGTTTTTTGATATATTTGACGTCTACTCTTGATAAGTAAATATTATGTTTTTTATTGTTTTTAATTTGAGTAAATTGGATTTGTTCTTGCCATTTGGAAAATCTATGAGACTATATAAATAGTTTGTTTTTTGTTTTTAATAATAATTTTCTAGTTATTTGTATATCTATTTAATCAGTATTCAATTCTCACTAAAAAATTTACTATAATTTATTAACAAATAAAAGTAAAATTTATTTATTTCAAAAACATAAAACTACCTACACATAGAACAATAATTTTAACTGTGCAAAATAAATCAGTGATAGCTTGTATTTGAATTGCACTATAGGAATTTATATCTACTTCATAAAAATTATATAGCTTACATTATGCTCGCAATATTTACTAGACGTTATTATATATACTTTTGTTAGAATCACACTTGGATCTCAAACACGTATTCTAAATAGTAAAATCTTCCTAAACTTTAGCATGTATTATTTATACATTGAACAATTATTATAACTGTCATAATATGTATTAATAATAGTTAAAACACCTCGTTTACATTCATATCATATTATTTAGCATAAGTAAGAAAAAAATACTGTCACAATAAACTGTTGAATCGCATCAGTAGATTGAATAAAATAAATTTTGAAAGTTTTCCAAATCAATCGAGTATTCGAGCTATTACATCATTTAGGTATATACATTTTTCTACAGGACTGCGTTTAACTTTGATAAAGATATATTATATTCTTCTAAATGCACGTGCATAAATCTCGAATATGATAAATTATACATAATAGTGCGGTAACAACGTTTAAACATTTAATTGTATGTAGGTACTATAGTAAAAATATAAAATGATTTCGCATATTAAAATCATAATTAGGATACCGGAAATTCTCATCAAAAGTCGGAACTACAGTATTATGTTCAATAACCCGATCGAGTTTGTTAATATTAGGTCACTTGCTCTCAGGATATTTTGTACACAATTATGTAACGAACGTGGTTGTTATGAGCACCCAACTGGTTTCTTACGCGCTGACCACTTTCACTCAGAAATCATTCCGTATACCAGGATATATAATAATAATAATATAAAAATACAATCGCGTAGTGTATACTCGTAATATTAAAACAAGATATAAAATACTAGTTTTTTTTTTAGTTATGTCTCATTTTATTTTATTTATATTCCTATATTCTACATAACAATATGTTTATGTCTACAATTTTTCGTAGTTTTAGTTCAACAGTACATTGACATTCATCGACGTATTTGATATAATATCAAAACAAATAAAATATGATGTAGGTATGTATGCGGAATATTATTATAATTTAAAATTCAAAACGATTTGTGCATTGTGCGTATATTATAATAATAAATATTTTTCTGAAGTGCTATAATATAGTCGGACAAATTTTTGTTGGAATCATAATGATAAAGGCAGATACAACGATAATACATAACAAATAATTTATAGTACCTACCTATACAGCTATTATACTTACACAACACTAAATTGATTAAGATCAATCTGTAAAAATTAAATCTTATTTAGGTAAAATACGAGTATAGTTAAATAAATCCATCATAATATATTATAAAGAAAGTGGGTTAATAGTATGAAATTTTCAAACTTCTAAGTTCTACAGCATAGTTTTGTAAACATTTTCGTGTAATTTAAGAAATGGTTTTATTAAATAGATCAAATTTTATTAAATTTGTCATTCTAAATGTCAATTAAATATCGAGTGCATATATTAGATGGAAACACTATATGATTGAAAATTAATCAATGATTCGTTGTACGGCAAAGGATCTTTTAATTTCAATTTTTTTTTATTGAATATAATAAATGAATATACTTAATTCGTAAACTGATTTGTTAATGAATCTTTAACCTAATCTTAATCTAACCTAACCTCGAAGAAGGTGAAATCATTAAACAACGAATTTAGAGTCCTTTCGTTTAAGTCCTCGGAATGTGCTTCAAGAGCTCTAATACAGTACGAAAATATGACAGAGAACACTTATGTGAAATACAAAACGAAATAATAATACTAATAATAATAATAGGTAGTATTTTTACATTCAAACTGACTTCGAGTTCGATTAAAAAAATATGTATACAATGCTTCGTGACGTCATACACGTATTGTACATGTGAATTGTGAATATGTGACATGCATAAATATTACAAAAATATTAATGTAAAAATCGACAACCTATCTAACGCATACATTTTTTCATTTGGGAAAATCATAAAATTAGAAGTTTTTGTTCATGATGAGTCGTAAAACATAATAATCAATGAAACGTAATATATTATAGGTACAATAACATTTATAAATTAATTTAAAAGCAATTTTTTAATTTACTAGAACCATTCTAATCGTGACGTAGATTTTTGAAATGACAAATATTGTTGAGGTACGTGTTCAGTAACGTTATTATATAAATCAATGTTGTTTTAGGATATAAAAAAATATCGGAGTCTGGGCTATAAGCTAATATTTTTTATTTATATATGAATGTTAGTTATCATGCGCAAGATAATCAAGTATTTTGTTTAAATTTGAAAATTTAGCCGCACCCCATATCTGTATTCCGTAAGTTCGTATAGGCATGATAAATTGCTAATACATTAGTAGTTTGGTATTAAGATTGAGTTTTGAATGGCTACCAAGTAATTTTTTTTTATCAAAGCTACCAACATATTATTTACTGGGTAGTACATCGGATTGTTATATATGTTATTCATAATTTATTTGTTACTGTGGAGCTGTAATAATTTTTATATTGGTACTTTTCTTTCTAATAGTTTTAGAGGGGCGTATTTAATTTTTATATGTTTTGCCCAACTGAGACGTTTGTCAAGCGTTAGGCTAAAGTAGTGATATTGGAGACTTTTGGTATTGTTTATACATTTAGTTATTTATTGTTATAATAGTATATACTTATTTTTCATAAATACCTACTGTTAAACAAATTAATCATAAATCATCACCAATTATATATTTATACCATAATACTATTATAATAATTATAATATTTTAATACCGAATAGGTAATATCTTAAATACGTTATTATCAAACTCGTAGTATGGATGGGAAAGCTATGCAAATATTGAATGCAACTGAAGATTTAGGGTCCAGTTCTCTGGAGGGGACCTGCAGTGGTAGTGTGGTTTACATATAGTAACGTATCATAGATTCATAGAATACAGTAGGATAATGCAGTTTTTGGAAGACATAGGTTATAAATTATATGTACATACCTATATTACTTATACTATAATTAGTGTGTACCAACATTTTATAATTTATTTGAAAAATAGGTAGGTACTTATATTTGTGTAAGAATAAATCATAGGTACTTTAGGCATAATATATTAGTTTTTTTCTTTATTTCTATATATTTTATGATCTAAGATTAGCTTAAAATCAGTAGAATATATTATAAATTATTACTGGATAGATATTGGTGAATATTTAAATTGCATTGTTATAGCGGTACCTAATTAGTGGACATTATAAGAGAAAACAAATACAAAACATTTTTGTTGTCATTATAGCTGATTGATTTTTACAACAGTGAATATGTCTTTTATAAACTCTGTAGTCTGAGCGTATTAACTAAGTTATATAAATATAGACATACATTTTTGATTATATATGTAGATTAATAATTATTAGTGCAGATTTTGCCTCATAAATTATAATAATATGTGATTTGTGAATATAAATTTAGGCAAAACAATAATACATTTTCGTAGGTAACGTATATTTTTTAATGATTAAAATTTGATTATTTTTAAATTTTTAAACCATACGCCCATACTCCATATTTTGTAGGTACCTATTGGCTATTTTACATTTCACATTTTAAATCAATTGAAAATATGTAGTTGTATTTTATTGCAATAACRCAATATTATTTTTATTTCGTAGTATAGTTTTAATGCCCATTTTAAAAACATTTTTTTTTTGATTAATTTCTAGATTTTTTATTTTTTCTACGAGCTTTTMTTCTAAGCTTGGCTATTTAGATAGTTAATAATATATCTGCATTTAAATCGTTAAAGTATTATATACAGGTATGATACTCTATATTATATAGGTACTATAAGTATAGCTGGTATTTATTATAAATGTAAAACATAAAAATGGTTAATCGATATCGAATTTTATTTTATAATTTGGTATTACAAATTTACACATGCGTTGTTTTTGATAATATACAACCTTGGATGTGTTTAAGAAATTTCAATTGAATTAATTTTAGTGATTAACTGTGCATAATGCGTACCTCCGGTGGAGTTTGCGTAACTATAGATACTAACTGTAGAAATTCTCACATCATTTCTCAATGATTCGGCTTATAGTGTCAAATAAAATTTCAAGAATGCTATATCAATGAGTAAAATATTGTGACAATGTACATAAAAATAAGCATTAAAATCTTTTWAAAAAAATGCTCATTAAGAGCTGTATAGGCRTGTATATTAGAAYTACGTATATAATGAACATTTATATTATAGGCATATCAATAAAATAACAAAAACACGGTTAGTTATAATTATGATTACTTAATATCTCGACAGGGAATAATAGTGTAAAATAAATATGAAATTTCTACTCCTCCTTGCTACACGTTTGATTAATTCTTAAACAATTACATAATTGATAAACAATAAGTCAGAAGTATAAAGTGCTTMACACTAAATTAGTAATTATCTTTAACATGACGGACATTTCAAATTAATAATAAACGATTTAATAATTGATGAAACTATTACATCTGGGGTTTACTGAAAAGTGTTCTGTATGAAAATACAAAAATAATATTGTAATATTGCGAATATTTGTTATTTGTATCATAATATTAATATTAATTAATATAGTTGAAGGCTWACAAAAAAATTATATCATTACGATAATTTTATTTCAGGTGATGAGTTGATAGTATAAAATTGTTTAAAMATGGAATCACCCGGAATGGCTCTAAGTGACAAGTATGGAAGTGATAATCCACCAGCTATTGTGGTCAGAGGTGCATACAAGAGATACAGTCCTCACAGTGTCGTTCTTAGAGGCCTGAATATGACTGTACCCGAAGGAACTATGTGAGTACTATAGACTGTAAATGTTCAAAATACAATCAATATTTTTAAAATACCTATAAATTTATATTTTTATGTTACTATATTGACCATACGCCTTAAACTTAAAAAAATTTTAGTTTTGATTTGTTTCGAATAATTTATAATGTAGCCAAAAGACCTTATACCTAAACATTTTTATAATTGTGAAGAAATTACTTTCTTGAGGAATAAAAACTCAATCTATCTATATTATAGTTGATGTTGTACCTATATATGTATAGTATATTCTTCAGTTATGAGGAAATTTAAGYAAATAATTACAATTTTCACGCTATACATTTATTTTATAAACATTAAATTCTGAATRTAATCTAAAAAATACATTATTGCTATTTAACAAAAATATTTTGACTTTTACTTTCATAGTAAAATAATAAGTAAGTAAAACAGAATGGTGTTCATGAATTTGGGAACAAATCTCGTTACCTATCGTAATATAAAATTACCTATATAATATTATATTAATCGACAAATTGTGTGTACATATATATATATATATATACTTATATCATACTCGGAGAAAGGCAATTACTATTTAACTATACATCAGGGTCATTGATGCAATGACATAATACAAATATATACTGTACATCATAATGTCTTTACTAATTATGTAAACTTTCTATACCTATCAGTTACGTTTTATACTGTATATTGGCGTACCGCAAAAACTAAAAGTTAAATAAAGTTTATTTACAAAGGCAATGCAATTTTGAAGAAATCTTAATCAATATCATTTAACTCCAAGTAATAAATCAATTAACATTTTGAATAGCACTTGATCAAAATAATATTTAATTGTAACAATTAATTAATATAGCTGGTAGTATTGATTGATAGAAATATTAGTGCCTGCTTAAAATATTATAATATTTGATTTCTGGGTTTTATATGATTAAGTTAAATATTTTATTAGTATGATAAAGATAGGATTATAATTTGACTTTAACCATCATTTTGGAGTTACACACTACACACATGTGTAAGTCTGTATACTACATACATAATAAATTAGTAATATCTATGTATAGTAATATTAAAATATTTTATCGTTACACATTAATGCCATATTAAAACCCATTAGCTAATTATTCACATTATATAGAGAACACTTAACGTTATACATAATCTGTATGAATGTATGCAATAATGATAATAGTCAATAGGTACCTAATAATAATATATAGGTACAAGACTTAATCATACCTATTATATTCATACGCGTTAACCAGAAAAACTGCCGCATTTTTGTGTATAGACCAACATCTAGTAAAATATTTAAAAAATAGAATATGTAATATTATCTGTACCTATATTTAAAATTGAGAAAGTAAAAGCTCCCTAACTTATCTTATGGCTTATATAATTGATCGAATTATTTTGGTTTATAGATATGGCCTTCTCGGTCCCAGTGGTTGTGGAAAAACTACATTACTCAGCTGCATGGTTGGACGGTGTCAGCTCGATGCTGGGGATATACAAGTCAAAGCTAGAACGAAGTCTAACATTGGATACATGCCTCAAGTAATTGTTATTAAAATATTTTAGCTATAGATACATTTATTTAAATATTTTCATTTTTCTTTTCAGGAACTCGCTCTGTACCAAGAGTTTAGTATTAAAGAAATAATGACCTATTATGGCCGTTTATTTGGTATGAGTCATAAACAAATAGAAACCAGAACGTATGAACTATTAAAATTTTTAGAACTTCCTCATGAAAATAATATCGTTAGTCGACTAAGGTAAATTTAAACTTATATTATATTATAGGTACTGCCTATGCATAATAGTATAGCTATCAATGATGTTATTATAACATTAGGTACCTATTCAAATTAATTGTAATTTAAAATGTCAAGATTTACTATTATATTGTTGTATTTTTTTTAAACCTCATCAAAAACAGAAATATAATTATGTATCTTAATAGAAACGTATTAATAGCTTAAGTAATTATACTTAATAGACTACAGTAATATCATTTTTTTAGTGGCGGTCAAGAAAGAAGAGTGTCTTTTGCGGTCGCATTGCTTCACGACCCTCAACTTCTTATATTAGATGAACCTACCGTAGGAGTAGATCCCGTGCTGAGTGCTAGGTAAGTACCTTAAGCTACGTAGATATAATGTCAGTAAAATTACTTGTGTGTTTCATTAATATTCTGTATATTAATAATTAATTACTTATTGAATTCMTGTAGCATATGGCAACATCTTCTAGACATGACAGCCAATGGAAATAAAACAGTTGTAATAACCACGCATTATATTGAAGAAGCCAGACAAGCTCATACGGTAGGTAATCATTAGCTATGTAACTATATAAAAAGAATATACGAGTTAATGAAACACAATATATAAATATATTAATACTTTATGAAATAACGCGGGGGTGGTTATAAAAAATATCAGTTGATGATATTAGATTCTGAGCAGATCGAAAATGTATTGGTTTTACAATTATGTGCTTTTATTTTTGTGTCTAAAACACTTATTCTTGTAGAAGAAATGTATTGATCTCCAACTTCAAAGAAGGTTTTTGGTAGAAAATTGTATCTAGTTGGTAGTTTTGGGTGATTGAAATTGAAAATTCTCGTACCTATTATTTTTATTTTTATTTTTTTTTAACAAGAAATATACAATCTGTACCCTTGGGCACAATAAGAATATGAGATATAATATTTTTTTTTTTAACACGAAAACATGAGGGAAGAAGCCATCYAGTGAAAGCACTACCTATTTGTTTATTAATAATTTTAAAAAAAATCGAGAGTTGAGTGCGGAGGAATGTTTGCTAACATTTTAATATTATTATTAAAACGATTAATTGTTTGGTAGCCACTAGCCAGTTAATAACAATCTTTGATTATGTATACCTACATTGATATGATGAGCGCTAAAATGTCTTAATCTACTCAGCTACTATTTAGAGCACCGTCAATCCAATAAATACATTTTACGATAGTATAGAGAAATTAAAACAACATGAAAAGGCACGAGTAGAGAAAATATCTATTGGTATTATTCAGTATATAGGGAAGCATTTATGATGATTTATTTTATAATTTTTTTTTTCATGAGAATATTTTTGTTCATGTGTATAGATTATATATTTTGCTCAATATTTCATTTTATTGTATGTTTACAGATTGGGCTAATGCGAGATGGTACTTTGTTAGCTGAAGAATCTCCCAATCAACTTCTTTTAAAACACAACTGCTCAACTTTGGAACAAGCTTTTCTAGAGCTTAGCAAACGCCAAACAAGAAGCAGTATCATGGACAAAGAAGATGAAAATTGTGTATGTCAAAATTAGTTATATGTGTAGTTTTATTTAAAATWATGATTTCAGTAATCATTATAAATATATTTTAAAAAATTGTAAATAATTAATATTTATTTTTTTTAGAATATTGAAACATATCCTGTACCAGATAAAAAACCATTGGCACCATTGAAACCAGATAATATTTGTTCAAAATCAAGAATTTTAGCACAATTATTAAAAAACTTTTACTGGATGAAAAGAAATATACCGTACGTAATAAATATTTAAATAAGTTTATAATTATCTCGAATCAATGACTACAAAAAAAAAAAAATCATAATTCGATTATTACAATTTTTATAGTAACTACTAACCAATAACAAAATTTCTATTAAGATTTAACCATTCATACCATAAAACCATACAGTAGTATATTTTACCCAGTAATACAAACCGCTAAGTTAGGCATATTATATATTAAGTTATATAATTTTACTGTTATACATATAAAAGTGTCCAGTTCAAAAATAATTAAAACACATTAATATCATCTTGCGTTAATTTTATGTAGGATCATGTGTTTCCTAATGATCTTGCCTGTTGTGCAATGCTATTTATTTTGCACCTGTATTGGTCGTGATCCCCAAGGATTAAAATTAGGAGTAGTCAACGAAGAGCTTAAAAATGGTATGTCAAGTTGCAGTAGTTATCCGTCGAGCGGATGCAATTTCAGTGTACCGTTAAGTTGTCGATATTTACAAAACTTGAAGGATAAAAGTTACAAATTGGTCAGTATTAAAATTACAGTTATAAGTTAACTATTTCCAATGTCGATWAAAACCAAATAACAATACGTACAATTGCTAAATTAGATCGAGTACGATTCTCTGGACGAAGCGAAATTTGCTGTCAAGAAGAATAAGGTTTGGGGAGTGTTATATTTCGAAGAGGGTTATTCAGAATCGCTCGGCGCACGAATCAAAATGCCCGATAATTTAACTGAAAGGACCCTAAATATTAGTGATGTCAATATATGGCAAGACATGTCCAGTATGTACTCAATATTATATCTATTATTATAAACGCAATCTGTTATTTATTGTAATGTTAAAAATCTTTGTACATCATTGTTACAGACCAATACGTAAGTAATCTATTACGAAGGGATATGCTTTCAAGGTATGTGATGTTCTTAGAAAGTGTATTCAGAGATTGCGATTGGCCCGTTGCAATGGCCGATATACCGATCAAGGTATAACATTTAAAAATTATTGTTGGACATTATTTAGTATAAAAATACGTTTATTTGTTGTATTGTTTAGTTGGAAGACGCAATTTACGGAGATAATAACCCAAGTTTTGGACATTTCACAGCCCCAGCTATCATATCACTGTTGGTTTATTTTCATTATATTAAAAAATAAATTCTTAATGATATAACAGCAACGCGCACTGACCAACATGTTCTTACGATATACGACATTATAGACAATAATAAACATGTGTACATTGCGCGATGTTATCAAATTAGCACACTAATCCACAACAATTAATGACGGCGTGTGCAATATCCTTTTTAATATGGCAATATTTTGATCCACAGATTCGAGTTCTATCTCCCGATGGTGTTCACCGTGGGAGCGATACTCATGGAAAAGATGGGAGGATTGTTGGAGAGGAGTCTAGTTGCCGGTATAAGTTATTTAAAATACTATCATATCTAAATTGTAAACAGTTCGAACGCCGCCCTGTGCATCTATTAAGACTTATCAAATCTTTTTTTGTTTTCAAGGCGTCACGGTGACGGAAGTAATATTGTCTCACATTGTGGTCCAGTACATCGTTTTGAGCGTTCAAACGGCGTTGATGATGTTGGTGTTGTTTGTGTTCTTTGATAATCCTATGGTGGGGAGTCTAGTGTGGTCTCTGTCGTTGCTATTCCTGACGGGGACCAGTGGAATGTGTTACGGTGAGTAAAAACTATATATATATATAGGTATACATATTAAACATAATTCTCTATAAAATAGCTGGACAACAAACGGTTTCTGGGGGGCAGAATTAAGAAACGTGCTTGCGTAGCCGCATTCTACACGTTCTTGTCTCGATGACTCAACATGAATATTTTTATTTTTTTTTTTATAAAGGATTTATGGTCTCGGTGTTCTGCAACACCGATACGTCTGCCACATTCATGGGCTTGGGAAGTTTCTTCCCTCTAGCCATGCTTAGTGGGATGATATGGCCACTCGAAGGCATGCACTGGATATTGAGATCAGTTGGATGGATTTTGCCGATTACGTTATCGACGGAATCGTTCAGAGCTTTATCTGCCAGGGACTGGTCAATAACGCACCCGACTGTCTACAAAGGATTTTTGTCCGCGTCCGGATGGATCGGTGTGTTTATGTTAGTTACCATGATTGTGGTGAAGAAAAACAATGGTTTAAGGAATGTAACCAAATAATAATATATGTAAATAAAATGTAAATAATTGTATTATAAGTCATGTACAAGTAGTGATTACGTCCGTTAAATACCTATTATATTGTGTAAAAATGTTGCAGACTATTTTTTATACTGTTAAAATTATGATTAACAACATTTTTTTATCAAGTTCTTTTACTATTTAATAATTTTAATCTATTACAGGCTATAGCCTATAAGTATGTACACAATACATTATATATATATCATATATATTATAGATTATAGAACTACCAATTTAAGTATACATTTTAAACATTTAAACTAACTTTATTGATAAATAATGATTAACGACCATTGTTTTTACTTGAGTTGATTATACCATAACGTATCTAAATTGAATTAGTGAAAATTATTTTGTTAGGCTATGTGATATTGGATGTTATAAGTTGTCAGAATATACAGAATATACGTATATAACACAATCCCTTTCACATAAGATATAATATAATATTTGTGTTTATATTCACATGCGTTAAAATTATATATTTAAATATTGTCTATCTAACTATATAAAACTATAAAAAATAAAATTGTTTTGACTGTTTTTGATTGTAGGTTGACCTGAAATATTATATGGAACGATTAGTACCAAAGTTCCAAAATTATATTGTTCTATATTATTATTATTATGTGATTTCGTCTACGAAATAACTTTTCTAAAAAACTTCAACGATGTATACAGAGTGATCCTTTTAACGTAAAACACTCATTATTTCAGAAAACACTAACTTTTTGAATATATTTTTTTACATAAGACGTGTCAAAACTTCATTTTTCAAAGGTTCCTCTTAAAATTTTTACACAGGTTAAAAATAAAACAAAAGTATACCCGCAGCAGTGCAGCGTATATTACGATTTTCACTAATCACAAAAATTAATTTTATACTAGCGTGTAAATACGCAGGGGCGTATCAAGAAGTAACTTATGGGAGGGGGGGGGGCGTCCTCAAAATACAAACATTATCACGCAAAATTAAGGATGAATAGTTCAAGCATTACTCAGCCATTTTGTCGTGTGATCTATTTTATAGGCATCTTATGTGTGTTTTTAAAATACTAAATAACGTAAATATTAAATTATATGACTATACCCGGAGTTGTGAATAGACTTTTTTAACTACATCACTGTCGTAATTCATTTTTATTTATTTTTTTGCTCGTGTCAGGCGTTTGACTGCAGGAGTGTGAGAGTATGTTAAATAATAATAAAATATTACAAGTAATAAATAATAAATTAAGTAAGTACATCTTACTATCTTAGTGTGTATTTAAAAACACATAATTAGGTTTATCACCATCGCATATTCATATATACATGATTAATAAAGTCATCAACAATAAATAACAACAAATTAAAAAAAATAATTATAAAATTACTAAATAGTTGAAAAATTTAAAATTTAAATTCATGTGTGTTTTTATCTACACATGCTAATACAATTATTTATGTATGTACATTATACATACCATATATTATAGGGGTAGTCAAACCACGGCTCGAGTATTTTTCACTATTACTTTTGTAATAATAGTTATTATTTTATTTTTGAGACATTTTTGATCTCCCATTTTTTTATGTATAATATTCAAGTTAATTTAGCAATTATAATATTATCCTTATAGTCTTTCATGACTGAATACAATTTTATTTTAATGAGAATGCAGTTAAGGTATCATTGATGGTGAAGTTTTTTGATTTGAATAATATTTTATTGAAATAAACAATTAAATATTTATAAAAACAGTTTTATTAAAACGCATTACCTAGCCATTTATTGTACTAAGTATTATAATCAAATCGTATTAATAACATAACAGCTTTATAGTTAATACCTACACTCACTTCGCGACTGATTTGGTCACGTTATGGTTTGTACAATACGAATTAGTGTGAACGAAAAATTGTAATGTGATAGTGTGTACTTATATAGATGTAACGCTGTGGTTGTACGTATCTTACTCGACATTAGATTCAAAATTAAAACTCTGCAAACTTTATATGAAAGAATTTTACAAGCCTTAATGGTACCTATAGTATAACTGTTTACATTAAACCAAATATTATTTTACAATTATTTCAGTGTGGGCATTGAATTTGAGTTTCAAGAAAAAGCAGGTACATATAAATATAATATTCAATAATTGTTGAAATCATTTATAAATACATTTTTATTCGACTATATGACAGTATAAATATACAAAATAAAATTAAACACAGTAGAAGGCGATTTGATGCTTATTTTTGTGTAGGTACTTAATTTCTCAAGCGTCCTGCCCTAGCATCTGTTATGACACCCCAGAGTTCAATGATGAAATCGTCCGTGAATCCTAATTCGTCTAAATCAGAGTTGTCGATTGCTTCCGCAAAGTCCATGCTGTTCAGCTTATCTTCTCCTTTCTCCCAAATCTGTGTAGCTATAGACGATAACAGAACAAAGAACGATAAGTTGGTTAGGGAATAAGGATATGTTTGTTTAATACAAATATGTTATATTATATACAATTGAAACTTACCAAGTTCGAAGTCACTAATTCCCAATAAGTTTTCCAGCAGTTGATTGATTTTATCAATGCCTTTTTGTGACTCATCAGTCTACAAAAATTGCATAATTTTTTTATGATTGATCTAGTTTTGGTCTAATTATAGATACATTATGCGAAATATTGTAGGTATTACCTCTTTTTGAATTTCAGCGGCCCCGTTGGCTTTGAACCGTAACGTCTCTTTACCATTCCCATACGAAGGATTTTTCCCACGTTTGGAACCTCTTGGCTCGATATTCGCTGACCGAGTAAAAAAACAAATACGTGATAAATAAATAATTTAATTTTGATAAACTATTTTTAGATGTAATTCTCAAAAAGTACATACAAAATCCTGCTTTGATTGGCTCTATTAGCCGTAACGTGAATACAGATCCTTTTGGAATATCTTTTAGCATTTTGGCAACTTCGTAGTGTCTTCTGCCAACCATTGATTCATTGTCTATTTTTTCAATATGATCACCTACCTGTAAAATAGGGAATAAATTATTTTATATTGGTATATTCATAACTATTAAATCATTTATTAACCCTTCTTAGACTGCATTTAGTGCCTTAGTGGTATAAGTAATAATACATATATCGAAAAGTATATGAAAAGAATACGTCACGAAATGTATGATTAAAAAAGGTACAGTTTCATTATTTAAAATATTTTAAAAAAAACTCACGCTTATGTACGAAATGTTATCAATGATGCTATTCTCTTTAATGCGTTTTATGAAACAGTATCCAGATCCATTATCTGTGATTGTCAGGCCAAGTGCCTCGCTTGTCTTGGCGATTTCGATTTCTTTTGGCCGTCCTTATGATATCAAACATAATAATAATATAGGCTAATATATATGTAATATGGGTAATAGGTATAGATAAATACGTACATAATATTATTAAATTAACTATCGTTTTATTGATTTATGAATAATAACAATGTGTGATTATATTTAATGTGTAACGCCTCTCATATTCTATCCAGTAAAATTGTCGATTTTTAAATTACCTTTACGATGTACGAAAATAAAGTCGTCCAGACCGATTTGGCTGCCCAGAAGTTTAGTCATGTCCATTTTGTGAGTATTCAAAGTGCAAAACAGAATCTATAACAGAAGTTTAAATATAGTTAAGCATATTGTATTATAGATACGACTACAATTTATACAATGCATAGTTAAATAATAGGTAAATGTTTTGAAAAAAATTTAATATTTTGTTCATATAAATATATAGGTATTATAATAATTAGCATGCTACTATTTATTTTTCMTATGCAGGAAATTATAGATATGTAATATTATATTTTTGGAGTATAGTACAATGGACAATATGTATAGTAACATACTGCCTTTTGTTAGAATTTAATTGCTTTTTAGTTTTTAATTTTCTTTTTATGACAATAAACAAAAAAGCGTTAAGAAAATCAGTTAGAAAAAAGTTGTACATATCCCAAAAACAAATCTATGTTAAAATCTAAGTGAATTTATAACTATTTGTCGTCCTTAAATATACCTGTCGAATGTTATATTATATATAAAATACCTACTAAATCTATCAACTGCGTTATTGTATGAATACATTTTATTGTAACATATAAAATATATACTTAATAATGCTTGGCAATGATTACATTGACTATTTATATCTTACAGTTTTGTATTTTATGTAATCGTTTTATTTTGCCATTCAATACTTTGATAGTCAGCTGGTGTATAACTTTATGAAAATATGACGTGCGTTATGCTTTCAGTTTCGTGTCATTTGCGACGGATACAGATAATTAAAAGTGTTTCATTACACCGCAATAATGATGAATTACTCGTCGATGGAACAGTTCCAAAGAAAATATACAGTATTAGCAATTGTATATTGTTCCATTGGTTACATCTCATAATAATAATAATTATCGATGTCTAAACACCACGAAAATTTAACTGTGTTCTATACGTAATGAATAATGATCGACCGCAACTCTATTACGGCCTCCGAAATAATGATTACGCTGTGCAGTTTATTATTATAAATTGGGTATACTTTTTATAATGTGCAATTATATATATATATTTAATGTATAGTAATAATAAGCGGTCGGATTAAGATACGAAAAACTAATGGACCAGATTGAAACTGTAAAATATATTAATTTAATAATTATTATAAAGTCGCTGTACGAATATCTATTCATAAAAAATCATGACTATGTATAATATACTACATAAAAAACTATCACCAGGGAACCAGGAAATGGTAAAAAATTAAAAATCACGCGATGTCATATACATTTTAGTGACCGGACCAATATAATTAACATATTATTATTTATTATTATACTCGCTACCCAGTGCAGTTTGTCGTCTCCATAACCTGCAGCACTCGATATGTGTTTTCATCATTTAATGCTATGGTACATCTCGATATCCGGTTTATGTTATAATTTATTTTTCTACAAGAAATTGCACCTCTAATCAATACTTATATAACAATGACACATATTATGTTATATGTATATAATATTTGCCCAACACTTGTGAATTGTGTTACTTATACAGACTTTAGTAGGTGTACTGTGCTATTTGATGTCATTATTGTTTTACTCAGGTACGTCGTTCATATTTATTCATTAATAGTAA